AAAGTATTTCTCATAGCCTGGGTGTCGGCCTAACAGTGCTGCTCATAATCATAAGTTTTGTCCTGGCTATCACGTGTTGCTTCTATAGAAAGCTAAGGCATGTGAAGGAGAATCATAGGGTCTCTATGGCACTTTTGATGTTTGTGCAAAAGCAAACACCGTGAGGAGCAGAGAACAGGGATAGAGTGTTTAAGGATGAATCCTTTATTCTCTCGCAAAGAAACCTGGCAGGCTAGGTTTCTAGAGGTGGAGGGGGACCTTCACCCTTGTGAGTGGTAGGTAAGTCCTAATTATATTCTCATGATATTGTTCCCCACTTTACCCTCGTATATGGTGCTGATCTGAGGTTGTGTCTTACAAGCACATAGCTGATTGCTGTGTGGCCGGCAGCTTTAACTATAGAAGCTGATGCTCCTATTGGCTCGATTTCTTCCCACAGGGGCATCCAATCCCTCTTGTACCTTCCTCCAATAGGGGGTTTTTATCCCCCATGCCTGAATTAAAAATGTTTGCTATAAGCCTGAATCTTTGGTTATATTAATTGGATCATGAAGTTTTGTCTTGACAGCTTTTAATGTACAGAAAATAACCATGTCGCCCACTTGGCTCTTGTGAATTTGACATATAAAACAAAAGGGGCAATTGTGGGAGACAGAAAGATTTCTCCCAAGTTGTCTCCCCCAAATATGTTAGACTTAGGACACTGCTTGCAGCTAATGGTAAATGATGGTCAAGTTACCTCCCTGAAGGCAGTCAGTTGCCAAACAATGGTCTGGACTGGTAAGGCCGGCTCCCTGCTGTTAAAGACAAAGGGCTATTTCTCCCTAAAGGCCTAAAGTCATCTTTCATGCTTGTAGGTGGGGTTTACACCCTACTGATAATGGTTTCTATGGAGATCCAGAGAAGAGATCAAGCCTGCTCAATGACATCCAAAGTTAGGCTGCCATCCTGAATCTAGGATCCGCTCATCTTGTCCCATGTATACCCCCAGTCCCTCCTCTTCCTATTACGTGTATATCCCTAGACTGTCCCCCTCTCATTGCTGTATAACCTATAGTGCAACCCCTTCCTGTGACGTATGTCTTTACTTGTAATTAGTGAGCTTGCACTCCCCTCAAAGCCATATAGGCCTAGGTGAGCAATAAAGAGCACTTTCTTGGGCTACCCTCATGACCTCTCATCGGTTCCCCCTCTCCTCTCCTGTCCTCGCTCCCCTGTTCCCTTTCCCCTCCCCCTCTCCACGTGGACCACCAAGCAGGGCTCAGGTGAACATGCTACTATGAAATGTGTCTGACTCTATTGCTTCTATCTCTCTTTCATCTCTCATGCTCTCCATGACTTTAATATAATATTTATATATCTCAACCGTACAATTGTGCCTATCGAACCCGCGATTAGTAGTGGGGGCTGGCCCCGTTCCCCCACAGAATTAGAAAGCCCAAAAGGAAGAGCACATTCAGCATAGCTCAAGCTTGAAGAACTGAAAAAAATGAAAAGCCTTGAGTTGTATTATTAAAAGATTCTATGAGCAAAATATTGAGTGATGCAGGAAGCATCGAAAGAAGAAGGAAGCATGACAGTCACTGTACTAAACAGAACTGATCAACATTCAACCATTTTAAGATCAAGAACTGATGATACTGAGGGGGGAAAGTCCAAGCAGCACTGAAGGCATTCGTGAAAAACAAGGCTCCAGGAATTCAACAAGCTGTCGAAGCAGCGAAAGCACTCAATTACCTATGCCAATAAATTTGGAAGACAGCTATCTGGCTAGCCTATTGAAAGAGATCCATATTTGTACCCATTCCAAAGAAAGGAGATGTGACAGAATGCAGAGATTGTTAAACATATCTTTCATGTCCATGGAAGTAAAGTTTTGCTGACGCTCATTCCAGTCTGGTTATAGCAGTACACAGTACATCACCAGTGATCTGCCAGAAATCCAGGCGATTCAGAAGAGAACTAAAAGAGGAGCTGGCATGAAGGATACCATTACTGATGTCAGATGGATCTTGGCTGAAAGCAGAGAGTACCAGAAAGATGGTGACAGAAAGAAGGGAGTGCTGCAGAGTTTAAAATCAGGAAAGGTACGTGTCAGGGTTGTAGTCTCTCACCATACTTATTCAATCTGTGTGCTGAGCATAAAATCAGAGCAGCTGAATTATATGAAGAAGAATTTTGCATCAGGATTGGAGGAAGGCTTATTAACAACTTGCAGTATGCAGATGACAAAACCTTGCTTTCTGAAAAGTGAGGAGGACTAGAAGTACTTGCTGATGAAGATCAAGGACTGTAGCCTTCGGTATGGGTTACAACTCAATGTAAAAAAACAAACAACCACCTAAAATCTTCACAACTGGACCAATAGAAAACATCATGAAAATAGAGAAAAGTTTGACGTTGTTAAGGATTTCATCTTGCTTGGATCTACAGTGAATGATCATGGAACCAGCAGCAGTCAAATGACACATTGCATTGGGCAGAGTGACTGCACAAGACCTTTTTTTGTTGAAGAGCAAGGATGATACTTTGAAAATTAAGTTGTGTCTGACCCAAGTCCTGATCATGCCCATCATCTCATATGCATGTGAAGTTAGGCAATAAGGAGACTGCAAGAGAACTGATGCAGGATTGAATACGGTGTTGACAAAGAATACTGAAAGTTCCATGGACTTTCAAAAGAAGAAACAAATCTGTCTTGGAAGAAGTATAGCTAGAATGCTCCTTAGAAGCCAAGATGGTGAAACTTTGTCTCATGAATTTTGTACATGTTAAAAAAGAAAAAAGAAAGTCCAATTCCTGAAAAAGACTTCAATGCTTGGTAAAGTAGAACCAAAATCAACCCAAAACTCAAGTCTATGCCAACTCATAGCAACCCTATATGACAGGGTAGAACTATTCCTTTGAGGTTCCAAGACTTTAACTCTTTAGGGGAGTAGAAACCCTGTGTTTCTCCCACAGAGTGGCTGGTGGTTTTGAAGTGCCAACCTTGTATATTGCAGTCCAACTCATAAGCACTACACCAAAGTAGAAGGTCTATGACAAAGAGGAAGACCTTCAAGGAGATGGATTGACACAGTGGCTGCAACAACAGGCTCAAACATAACAATGACTGCTATAGCACAGGCCCTGGCAGCGCTTCATTGTGTTGTGCACAGAGCTGCTATGAGTCAGAGTCAACAGCATCAACAACTAACAACAGACCAAACACTTAATTTCATAAAGAAAAATTGAGCCCCAAGAAAGGAAGGTGATGTACCAAGAGATGAATGACAGAACTGAAGCTGGAGAACAGATCTCCTTAGTCATTCTGGAATGTTCTTTTCATGATGCTATTGGTCCATTTTATGGCGCTCTGGTGGTGTAGTGGATACGAGTGGGGCTTCATTTCGAATGGTCGTCAGTTTGAAACCACCAGCAGCTCTGCCATCGAAAGACTGGGCTTTCTACTCCCATAAACCATAATCAGTTAGTCTTGGAAAGTCACAGGGGGTCTCATTACTTGACAGCAACTCATTTAGGGAGCCCTAGTGGCACAGTGGTTAACTAACTCAATTGCTAAGTAAAAGGTCAGTGGTTCAAACCCAGTAGGCACTGAGCTAGAGACAGATGCTTCTGTAACACTTTAAAGCCTTTATAGAACTTCTACTTTGTCTAATATGACTGCTACTAGTAGTAGAAAAAAAAGTTGGTGGCAAGGGTTTGTTTATAGCTTATTTTCTTTTTGATTTATAGTATTTGATCATTTAACAAATATTTATTAAACTTCATCATGTGTCTGACTAGTGTGTCATTTTCATTTGTAATATAAGTGACCCATAGGCTCTAGGAAAAGATAGGTTGGGAGGATTTCTAGACCCATTTACTCCATGGTACCCTAAACCAAAAATTCCCCCTCCATTGAATTAATACTTCAGAAATAAGAACACTGGAATACTTAATAAGATATATATAATCAGATTAAAATTGTAATGATATTTAGAGAAATTAAAAACTACTATCACAAAAATGTCTGTCATGATCGCTTAGTATAATACTAAAATAAGAATCCATATATAGTATACAATGGGATGCTATCCATTATATATTCAGGAATAAAAAGAAATGGATTACATATGGATACATGGTATAATGGATGATTTTAGAAAAATTATGCTAAAAGACCAAATACTGTATATAATTCCATTTATATGAAACATTTAAAAAAAAGGCAATGGTAGAATATAAACTCCAGTAGTGCTTGTTTGGTGCAGAGAGTGGGAAGGAAATTGACAGTATATGGGAATGAAGGAAATATACAGGGGTGAAGAAAATATTCTAAAACTGACTTATGATAATGGGCACAAAATTCAATAATTTACTTTTAAAATCATTGAACTATTCATTTCAAATCAGTAAATTATGTCATAATAAAATATTGTACCCCACTAAAAATCTAGGTGTACTCAATTCATGTACTCCTCCTGTCTTTTATAACCCCAATGATAGTTTGTGTCAGAAATTGCCTTTGTGAACGGAAGACAGAGAGACAATGGCACTCTAGATTCATCATTCTTTTCTGATTGCCACACAATAATTCCTGCATCCTTTTGTAAACCAGTATTTGTCATGTACAGTTACTGAAAAAATCCCAGGCAACAGAACACACATTCTCCTTTTCCAATACCTGCAGTCCAAATAGCTTGTTAGAGTCAAGAGCCCAATTCCCTGATTCTTCTCCTGTTCCTTTTCTTTACTCTAGCTGGGAGCCCAAAGAATTTTCCTTAGTGAACAATGGAAGCAAGTACAAATGACAGTACTTTTAATGTTTCCTATAATCAATTCTGTTCTTAGTTTTTTTGGTGGTAGCAAAAGAGAAGAGAAAGTAATGTCAACAGGATGAAACTCTGGGACCTTCTCCCGCTTCACCTCACCAGTGCTGAGTGCGCACATTGTTAACCAGGGGTTACTGGCTTGTTTTAGCACCCCATTCTTAATGAGCAGCTTCGCCTTAAACTCACCAGCGGAGATGAGCTCTGTACACTCTGGTTGTGTTTCATCCTGAGCTCCGTGTACAGGTACCAGATATAATTGACGGTGTAGAGAAATGAGGAAATGTAGAAGATCTAGGTGAAAATCAAGACAATTTATCATAATTAACACATATTCAACATATTCCATGACTGTTGGCTATTAAAATCCTACTTATTGGATTATTAGTAATACGCTATCTAGTATACATACTGTGTCAATCTAGGGAACATGCACCCACAGGTTAGAGAAGCCAAGGAGCCCTGCTGGTTATGTTGGGTATGGGCAGGACTGCGAACTACAAGGTAAGAGGTTCAAATCCACTAGCAGCTTTCTTGTGACTGTTCTGAAAAACCATAGTAGTATCTACCTACTCTAATCTGTTACACTTTAATGAAGATATTTTTAAGGAACTTTTAATTAGATTTTAATTGAATAAGGATTTCCATTTCTAGTAATGATATTTGAACCTAACTTCATGAAAACAGAGCAAAACAAACAAAAAAACCTAAACACCTCTGGTACCTAGCATATGGTAAGCATGGGACCCGATGGAGAATATTGCCAATAAATATTGGTGAAGTGATTTATAGTAATGATTGACCAAAAAAACCCCTAAAAACAAACAAAAAATTAAATAAGGTATATGTATTAGCCTGGGTACTTTAAAGAAACAAATCCACAGAAACTCATGTATAAAAGAGAGTTTTATATAAAGGGTAAGTGTACAT